AAATCTTCCTTCAAAATGTAAAGACTTTTGCCTACCTCTAAAACATTTTTTGATTTTTGATTATGTCAGTGTGCACCAGTGGGTCCGGTAAAATAATAATCACCACTAATATGTTTCACCTTCCACCAAACTACCCCCATCTATCAACAATCATAAAACAGTAAGCTAGCTCAGAGACCCCCTTGATACCACGTTTCACTCAGAAATGTCTCAGTACAGAAGGAAATGTTTAATGATTATAAATTCACATTGACTTCAGATCTTTCTTGTTTTGTTTTGTGGTGCTGTAAAAACTTGATCAGCAGTCGTACCTCTTATTAGGCTTGCTTACTATGCGTTTAAGATATTGTATTGAAAATAAAACTGTTTAAAATCTTGATTTAGGTCTAATTTGTTATTTTTGTCAAAAAGGTTGCTACGGTAACAGAGCAGACATTTTCTGATACTGCTTATGATTTTGCTCTATGGACTTTTGTACTTTTGTACTTAGGGCTTGTTGTGCAACTGGTCAGACTGGCTGCTCTGAAAGGATGTGTCCATTCTTGTACCAGCCTTTTGTGTACACTCTCAATGGAGCGTATTACTGGCTACCTGTTGACTCACTACACTGTTAGAAAGGTTCTACGCAGGTACTTTTATTGTTCATCAAGGTACAAACAATATAAATGTTCCCTCAGAGGTACAACAGTGGTTTTAAGGTCTAATTGTAAACCTTACATATTTTTTTCCAGGTGAAAAGTATGTATTAGTACCTTTTCATAACCTAATGTTTTAAAATAGAGCAATAAAATAAAAAGCTTGGAGATGAGACGGGGTGTATGGAGTCAATACAGCTTAGAAAATATAATTTCAATGGATTATGGTACAATTTTGTTCCCTGACTGAAGGTACTGAGATGTACCCTTGAGGGAACCACTCCAGTGACAAGAGGGGTCCTGCCCCAGTGACAGTTTACTACCTTTTTTTTCTGAGAGTGTACAATGTGATTGTAGCCTAATACCTGGTTATAATACCTTGACACCTATTTTTAAACCAAACAACAAGACTCACTCAAAAAAAACTCTGCAGTTGCCATTTAAAACATATATGGATGTAACCACAATGTTTCTCTTTTTTAATTATAGATTTCATTGTTTTTTCAAAATTGCAAATACATGTCTCAGCAAGTGCCAGCAAGTATGTCTTTTTCTCATAAAGGAATGGGGACAAAGCACATATGTGTAGCAAGAAGAGAGGAGAGGGGAAGATAAATTGTATAGTAAATAAATTTGCTAAATAAAATTGCAAAGCACATTGAAAAGAAAATCTATAGACAGACAGACATACTGACTTACTGAGCATGCTGGCTAAAAAACCCTGCTAGCCATTTGCTTTCTTAAAAATTTTGCAAGGAAGTCTAGGTAAACATATAGATAGATAGACAGGTGGACAGTCACACAGACTATGACCAAAAGTTTATAGACAGCTGCTCATCCCATGGGTCTTCTGAAATAAAGGTTAGTAATAAGGATAGAGTTTGTCCCTCTTCTCATCTTTCTTTCTCATCAGGCTTTACAGTAGATGATGGAACATTACTATGAAGATTTGATTGCATTCAGCCTCAATTAGGCTATGTTCAGACTGCAGGCAAATTTTATTGTTTCTCAAATCTTTTAAGACAACTGACTAAACTTTTTGCAAGTGATCAGATCAGATTTGTGTATCCAGACATTACCAATCTATCTGCACGGGTTGCTCTGGTAACAATGTAGATGTCAGTAACTACACATATAGCCTTCACTGGTGACATGGACTAAACACGGATGCAGGAGAGATGAAGGTGCATCATCTCGCCCTCCAAGCTCTTCAGAATTCTCTGGCATAAGTATGAATCTTTGTTGCTCTTCTTGAATTCCAGCACTTGCTTCCCTCTGGACTTGGCACTATCGTTGTTTGTCATGTTGCAAGTGACACAATAGACAATTTCAAACCTGATATGAGCATCCAGACTGAGACACATCTGTAAAAATCGGATTAGAATCACATTTCAAACCACATCCAAATGTGGTTTCGATCCAATTTGCAAAAATCAGACTTAATGTGATGTTGTGCTGTCCAGACTATGAAAAATCAACGTGGATACAATCTGAATATGCCAAAAATCGGATTTGGGCTGTCAGTCTGAACCTACCTGATGTTTAGTTCTGGATCACAAACACCACTACAGCTCATGCTAAAGGCACTGGAGAGTTATCCATCACTCCAGAGAACACAGTTCCACTGCTCCGAAGCCCAAAGCTAGGGCCTAGCTGTTGCTTAGTGACTTTAGGCTCATGTGTGGCCATGTGTGCGCAACTAAAGTGGGTCAGCAATGGGTGCCCACTGAAGTAGATGAATTCACTAATTAGAACGGATGCCTGGATGCTTTTGGACACATAATGTAAATGGCAGTCTGTTCAATTAATCAACCAACCAACCAATCAATAAATGAATTTGTTACTGGAACAGTTCAATCCAAGAAACTCCCAGAAGAGGACAAATGTCCCCCAAATCTGGGAATTTAGGACTTTCATGACCTTTTATGAGAGCTGAAATAGTAGTCAGTGTTACAGACAAAAATAACATTTAATAGTCAAGACCTCAGTAACAGTTTACAAGTAGGTTACGATTCCTAGGAAATAGTTAGACTATATTCAGAGCAAAGACAGCATCATAGTTCGGCAATCAATCGAGTTCCTGTGCCTTTTTTTTATTTAGTTTTTTATCAGTGTAAATGAAACTTATTACAACTATGCAAGAAACAATACTGCCCATTGGTCATTAGACCACATTTGTGGCTTGCATTGGACAATTGTCCAATGATGTGTGTGGATATGACAATATCACATTGCACAAAATTTTAGCTTATATGACTTTGCTGAAAAAGGATTAAGATGAAGCACACTGTCTAGTCTGGTAATGTGAAGTGTGATCTGGTGATGAATTACTTTATTTTTTTTTTCAACCGTGCCCTGACTCGTATTTGTTAAAACATTTACTTTTTATATTTATATACTAGTGTATGTGTAAGTGTAGATACTTTTTTACTGTATATTTCTGGCTCCATACCTCCACTTTTAATTGAGGAAGATTTTAAAACAAAGTTAGTACTTGTACTTTCATTTACAGTTTCTGTCTTTTTCCTTCATCTGATTGTAGTAGAAATGTCATCATTGTTCAGTAGCCATTACAAAATTGGAAAAAAAAAGATGGACCATCATTATGTGGCAACCATTATATTATTGTAAAAGGTTTATCATTATGGAAAATTTTATAGAAATATAATATAAACAGTAGTTTTGTTTGTTTGTTTTTTTCTCACATCCTATCTATCTAACATGATGGTTTACTTTCGTGTAGGTAAGTGAGTCCAATCTGTCATTAATGTGAAAGAATCAGCGTCCTGAACAACGCGCGTGCATATCCGAATTAGGAAACGTCACGTAAATGAATTTGCGTTCTCTCTTAAGCCCGATGCGCTCTCAGCTTTTGTTTGACTCGTAAATATTGTTTTGAAATGACTCAGCAGGCCACCATAAGGACCACATGAAAGTGGCACAGGTCGAAGTTGAAAAGTTCAGATATGTGTGTCCACACAGCTCTGAAAACATCAGATCCGTGTCGCATTAGGGCAAAAAAACGGATTTGTGCCATCTCAGCCTGAGGTAAACGTAGCCTAATGTTTTTCGCTCTTAAGTCTTTTTTTTTTTAGTTAGGTTAGTTTGTTTACTGTTCATGCACGTAATTCATTCACGTGACGTTCCCAATGAACAGATATGAGTCACATCCACCAAAACGAACCATTATGTTAGTAAGATATTGGATCTGAGCAAAAAAAATCAAATTTGAGCAATTCTGAAGCCCAGTGCTGGAGGCTGCTACTCTGCACTTTTTAACGTTTTCCCCTGCTCCCAGCACACCTGATCCAACTCATCAGCTAATTAACAACCCAATGATCCGTTAAAGTGGGTGTGTTAAAGCAGGAAAAGCACAAAATGTGCAGGGCAGTGGGTCTACAGGACGAGGGTTGAGAAACTCTGTCCTAAACACACTGGCTGTGTTTACATGCAAAGATTTTTGCCAATCCGATTGAATACAATCCGGTTACAGGTTCAAACTGAGGTGTTTATATGCACACTCTATTCAACAATTTGATGGAAAATCTTCGTTTACATGCTCACTACAAGTAATCCGATGCAAAATGACGCGCATGCGTGGAGTAGCGTTTAGAGTAAACGTTACCATGACAGCGAACATCACGTGAGGTCCAATCCGCGTGAGACGAGTTTCCAGTTGGCGTGCTTGTGTTTTAATTGCTTTAAAATGATGTCAGACTCAGGAAAACGTGCTTCACATGTCCTTATAAAGGAAACGGCGAGAGGAAGACGTCATGTTCTGAGACTCATAAGCTGGACGTCCGTCTCACTGCCGTCTATTAAAGATCAGAGCATAAACTTAGTCTCCTCTGCAGACCCGTTTTCGCTCCGCCATGCTGAACGGTATAAACTTTCGCCATGACGCGACGCACATGCGCAGAACATACACGTTCTGATAGGAATGTAATCGGATACAGGCGTTTACATGGCTATTATTCTTCTATTTAACGGATTATTCAGAGGTTTACCCACCTCGTTCAATCGGATAGAAATTGTATTCCGAATGGCCTCAATCGGACTAGAATATTCCGATTGAGGTGTTTACATGGACGTGTTCTATTCCGATTGAGCTATTAGTCGGATTATCAGGCTGCATGTAAACGTAGCTACTGTTAGTCAGTTGTGTTCTTGTTTTACGTCTTTATTGCATGCAGTGTAACATTCTTATTTTCAAAGTAATATTTATAAATAAAATCCATCAAATACTGTTCTGAGTAATAAAAACATCTTTAAAATATGGATTTTTAGTACTTTGTGCATAAAAAATAAATACTTGAACGCCATTAGGAAACAGATCTCAGATCTGCCTCTGCTTCCTCAGCTGCGTCCGGAAGCGCAGTCCCATCTTTACGTGCTGTTTGAAAAGTGACATGCGCTCGTTTCACCTACAGCGTTTCTGTCCCCCGGCATGGAGACTCGCAAATACGTCTACATGTTGTTGGTGGTCTGCCTTACTTTAACATATTTTATCTGCGTTAAAATGCGGCGTTTGATGCCTGTAGATGACCATGCTCCGTCCCTCAGGTAGGCGCGAGCTTCTGTTTACTTACTGACTGATCTGACGAGCGTTCTGGCTAAAAACTCCCGCTAGCCATTTTTCCCGTAAAAATAGCTTTGTATGCAGTTGTTTTGTGTTTCATAAGTGTCTTTAATCTAATTACCGGTTACTTTATCTTTAATTTAGTAGACTTTTTAAAAATACAGCGCTTTATGCCCTTAATGCTCTTCGTAGCCTCAGTAATGGCTGAAAGGTGTTCACTACCATTCAAGTAAAGCATGGAGTTACACACCACGGTAAAGTTAGTTTTATTTTCGATATTCGTCTTTTCGGCGCTAATAACATTTGATCGGACTATGGTATTCAGTAAAGACTTACATATTCATGACAGTACGACCACAGAGAGTGACGCACACCTTTTGTTTTGCAGTTTGGGTGACATTTAACGTACCGCGCTTTTGTGTTAATACCATAGAACTGAGACAAGTTTTTCAATGGGAAGAAAAAGCATGCACTTCTAGGCCACGCCTACATCCATGCACACACCTTTGTTTTCCTCCAAATCGTTTCAGTGCATTTAAATACATATTTTATTGTTCATGCTAACAATGGACACCGTCAGACAATGAAATGTCAATAGCTCTGTGAACACTGTGTCTACACACATCTGATTAATTGTGTTATTTGCTCTAGATTATGGTTAGGAATACACACCACTTTAATTTTTAAAAAATTCCTTGTCCTAACAGTATTGAGCCTTACCTGTAAAAAGTGATATTACCTGTGTACTAATATAGCTAGTTAGCTTGACGACAGAGGTTCAGTAATCGTCAGACGTTAGCAGTCATGAAGGTTCAACAGATCCTTAACCATCTAAAATGTTAGTTTAAAAAATGAGAGTGTAGAAAAGAAAATGTCTTATGTAAGTGGATCAAAATGCAACTCAAAAGTCTTTCAAATCCATCAAACACTCAGAGAGTCAGATTTACGTTATTTTTCCATTTTGAATTTCGATAACATTTTAGACATTCAACATTTAAATCAGCAGTGTTTGGTGCAGATAAGTTTAATGACACACAAACTTTGGATTTTACTTGATGATGTAATGTAGCTAAAATACTACTTAGATTCAAAATTCAACATTCACTGCAATTAATGCAGCTGAAATGCTTTTGAAGATAAAAATAGATAAATATTAACATAACATAATTATTGCAGTACATTCAAAATTCAAAAGTTGTGTATGATTGCTGAAACTTAAGTGCACCATACACAATTGTTTGTAGTGTTGTGTGTAATACAGCTGAAATGCTATTGAAATTTACAATTTATAAAAGTTAATAAAAAGTAGCTACACCATTATATCCAAGAGCTAAAGGGCTGACATCTCTCTGCAGCATGCACAGCTGTTTTTGATGTAATATATAATGCAGCAGAAATATTATTCAAACTCAAAATCTATAAAAATTAACACAATTTGTTACACCATTATATCCAAAATCCAAAGACTGTGCATCATTGATACAGTAGTTACAGTAAAATATTCAACATCTAAAGGCTGTGCATCATTGCAGACACCTCACTGCACCATACACAGCTGTTTTAGTGATGTATGTAATGTGACTGAAATATTATTGAAATTCAAAATACAAAAAAGTTAATAAAAAATAGTTACCACAAATTATCTAAAATCCAAAGGTTGTGCATCATTGCTGACACCACACACAGCTGTGTTTAGTGTTGTGTACAATGCAGCTGAAATATTATTGAAATTCAAAATACATAAAAAAATGAATAAAAAGCAGTTACAGTAATATATCCAAAATCCAAAGGCTGTGCATCATTGACACCTTGCTGCGCCACACCCAGCTGTTTTTGGTGATGTACATAATACAGCTTAAATATTATTGAAATTTAAAATACATAAAAATTAATAAAAAGCAGTTACAGCAATATATCCAAAATCCAATGGCTGTGCATCATTGCTGACAACTTGCTGCACCATATGCGGTTGTTAATAGTGTTGTATATAATGCAGCTTAAATATTCTTGAAATTTAAAATACATAAAATTAATAAAAAGCAGTTACAGTAATTTATCCAACATCCAAAGGCTGTGCATCATTGCTGACACCTTGCTGCACCATATACAGCTGTTTTTAGTGGTGTATATAATACAGCTTAAATATTATTGAATTTCAAAATACATAAAAATTAATAAAAAGTAGTTACAGCAATATATCCAAAATCCAAAGGCTGTGCATCATTGCTGACACCTTGCTGCACCATACACATCTGTTCTTAGTGATGTATATAATGCACCTGAAATATTATTGTAATTCAATATACATAAAAATTAATAAAATGTAGTTACAGCAATATATCCAAAATCCAAAGGCTGTGCATTATTGCTAACACCATGCTGCACCATACACAGCAGTTTTTAGTGTTGTATATAAAGCAGCTGAAATATTATTGAAACTCAAAATACATAAAAGTTAATAAAAAGTAGTTACAGTAAATTATGCAAAATCCAAAGGCTGTGCGTCATTGCTGACACCTCACTGCACCATACACAGCTGTGTTTAGTGATGTATATAATAAAGCTTAAATATTATTGAAATTCGAAATACATAAAAAATAATAAAAAGTAAAAACAGATGTGTATGGTGCAGCGAGATGTCAGCAATAATGCACAGCAATTTTACAATTTTGGATACAATCACATAACTACTTTTTATTAATTTTATGTATTTTGAATTTCAATAATATTTCAGTCACATTACATACATCACTAAAACAGCTGTGTATGGTGCAGTGAGGTGTCAGAAATGATGCACAGCAATTTTACAATTTTGGATACAGTCACATAACTACTTTTTATTAATTTAATGTATATTGAATTTCAATAATATTTAAGCTGCATTATATACAACACTATTAACAACCGCATATGGCGCAGCAAATTGTCAGAAATGATGCACAGCCATTGGATTTTGGATAATTTGCTGCAACTACTTTTTTTTAAATTAATTTTAATGTATTTTAAATTTCAATAATATTTAAGCTGTATTATGTACATCACCAAAAACAGCTGTGTGTGGTGCAGCAAGGTGTCAGCAATGATGCACAGCCTTTGGATTTTGGATATATTACTGTAACTGCTTTTTATTAATTTTTATGTATTTTAAATTTCAATAATATTTCAGGTGTATTGTACACAACACTAACCACAGCTGTGTATGGTGCAGCAAGGTGTCAGCAATGATGCACAGCCTTTGGATTTTGGATATATTGCTGTAACTACTTTTTGTTAATTTTTATGTATTTTTGAAATTCAGTAATATTTAAGCTGTATTATATACATCACTAAAAACAGCTGTGTGTGTCTGCAATGATGCACAAACTTTGGAATATGGATATATTGCTGTAACTGCTTTTTATTAATTTTTTTGTATTTTGAATTTCAATAATATTTAAGCTGTATTATATACATTACTAAAACCAGCTGTGTGTGTGGTGCAGTGAGGTGTCTGCAATGATGCACAGCCTTTAGATGTTGAATATTTTACTGTAACTACTGTATCAATGATGCACAGTCTTTGGATTTTGGATATAATGGTGTAACAAATTGTGTTAAATTTTATAGATTTTGAGTTTGAATAATATTTCTGCTGCATTATATATTACATCAAAAATGAATAAAAAGTAGTTACATGATTATGTCCAAAATCCAAAGGCTGTGCATTATTGCTAACACCATGCTGCACCATACACAGCAGTTTTTAGTGTTGTATATAAAGCAGCTGAAATGTTATTGAAACTCAAAATGCATAAAAGTTAATAAAAAGTAGTTACAGTAAATTATGCAAAATCCAAAGGCTGTGCGTCATTGCTGACACCTCACTGCACCATACACAGCTGTGTTTAGTGATGTATATAATAAAGCTTAAATATTATTGAAATTCGAAATACATAAAAAATAATAAAAAGTAAAAACAGATGTGTATGGTGCAGCGAGATGTCAGCAATAATGCACAGCAATTTTACAATTTTGGATACAATCACGTAACTACTTTTTATTAATTTTATGTATTTTGAATTTTTATGTATTTTTGAAATTCAGTAATATTTAAGCTGTATTATATACATCACTAAAAACAGCTGTGTGTGTGTCTGCAATGATGCACAAACTTTGGAATATGGATATATTGCTGTAACTGCTTTTTATTAATTTTTTTGTATTTTGAATTTCAGTAATATTTAAGCTGTATTAGAGGTGTCAGCAATGATGCACAGCCTTTAGATGTTGAATATTTTACTGTAACTACTGTATCAATGATGCACAGTCTTTGGATTTTGGATATAATGGTGTAACAAATTGTGTTAATTTTTATAGATTTTGAGTTTGCATAATATTTCTGCTGCATTATATATTACATCAAAAACAGCTGTGCATGCTGCAGAGAGATGTCAGCCCTTTAGCTCTTGGATATAATGGTGTAACTACTTTTTATTAACTTTTATAAATTGTAAATTTCAGTAGCATTTCAGCTGTATTACACGCAACACTACTTGAATTTTGAATGTACTGCAATAATTATGTTATGTTAATATTTATCTATTTTTATCTTCAAAAGCATTTCAGCTGCATTAATTGCAGTGAATGTTGAATTTTGAATCTAAGTAGTATTTTAGCTACATTACATCATCAAGTAAAATCCAAAGTTTGTGTGTCATTAAACTTATCTGCACCAAACACTGCTGATTTAAATGTTGAATGTCTAAAATGTTATCGAAATTCAAAATGGAAAAATAACGTAAATCTGACTCTCTGAGTGTTTGATGGATTTGAAAGACTTTTGAGTTGCATTTTGATCCACTTACATAAGACATTTTCTTTTCTACACTCTCATTTTTTAAACTAACATTTTAGATGGTTAAGGATCTGTTGAACCTTCATGACTGCTAACGTCTGACGATTACTGAACCTCTGTCGTCAAGCTAACTAGCTATATTAGTACACAGGTAATATCACTTTTTACAGGTAAGGCTCAATACTGTTAGGACAAGGAATTTTTTAAAAATTAAAGTGGTGTGTATTCCTAACCATAATCTAGAGCAAATAACACAATTAATCAGATGTGTGTAGACACAGTGTTCACAGAGCTATTGACATTTCATTGTCTGACGGTGTCCATTGTTAGCATGAACAATAAAATATGTATTTAAATGCACTGAAACGATTTGGAGGAAAACAAAGGTGTGTGCATGGATGTAGGCGTGGCCTAGAAGTGCATGCTTTTTCTTCCCATTGAAAAACTTGTCTCAGTTCTATGGTATTAACACAAAAGAGCGGTACGTTAAATGTCACCCAAACTGCAAAACAAAAGGTGTGCGTCACTCTCTGTGGTCGTACTGTCATGAATATGTAAGTCTTTACTGAATACCATAGTCCGATCAAATGTTATTAGCGCCGAAAAGACGAATATCGAAAATAAAACTAACTTTACCATGGTGAGTTACACAATACATTAAACACATTAAGGATTTATGGATGTATGCATCTTTACCAGTTATGTAATTGCGAGAACCTTTTAATTCAGGTCGTGTGCCATGATCATTGCGATCATTGGTTGTTAGGATATGACATACATAGATTTCATGAGGGGTTGTCCTTTGCTCGGTTGTGCCTTATCTACTGTGATAGAATAAAGACTATGTTTGGTGTACGTTTCTCCTTTTAGGACATATTTTGAAGGTGGAGGCAGCTGGAAGGCAGTGGATTCCTCTAAAAGAGAGAAACAGTTACATAGTTGGAAAGTAGGATAATTCTGCTTTATGTCATTTTCTGTTTAACATAGAAGTGGTTGATGTCTGTGATCATGGGAGACCATCTTTGTTCTTTCTTCACTTCTAGCCTATGCCTTCCTGCTCCTTCAGACGGATTGTAAAGAAGGATAGAAACCTGAGGAAGCGTTTCAACTTCTCTGTGCCTCTACTGCAGTGGGCAGGGAGTTTTAACCAGTCTGAATGGCAGAGGCTTCAGCATGCTCCTTTACCGTTTGGCTGGCGGGATCTGTCTCATAATGGTAAAGAACATTTTTTGAAAATATCTCAAAACATCGCATACAAGTTTATTCATCCTCACTTACTTCCCTCATATCCGGTATAAACCAGTGGTGAGGAACACGCTGTCACTGCTTCATGATTCTACTAGCAGCCGTCTGTTTGAGCGAGAGTATTCAGGTCAGTGTGTGCGATGTGCTGTAGTGGGCAATGGAGGAATCCTCAAAGGTTCGGGACAGGGGAAGGCCATTGACAGCCACGATTATGTCTTCAGGTATGTGCACTCTCTCCTCATCTTTGGAGTGCCACTGTTTTCCATTTTAATCCTTTCTTGCATACGTTTCTTTTTCTTCATCTCATTTGAATGTTCAGACTTAAGTATCATGTATGTTGTATGTTGACATCACAATTTGATTTTCTAGGAAATGATTCAGTGCGTCATGAAATCTCAAATTTAGCATATTTTGATTGTTTTAGCATGGTTCAGAATAATTAAAAAAACACTGTTTACAAACTTGTGGAATGTAGCCATTAGAAACAGCACTAACAGTTTTTAAAGGTTTTATTTACAATTAAGTTAAAAAGCCCACTCACAAGTTTTTATATGTAATGTTGATTACATATGGTAAATGATGGTAAAATTGTGGTAAATCTGAAACAATGTTTTCCTCAGAGACTATTTTGCCTTGTAGCACCCTGCATGTTCCTTTCTTGCATGGATTTAAAACATGTTATATGCCAAAATGTTATATTAAGACTATTGTAAAACAATGTCTCAGGCATCAGGCAAAATATTCCTAAGCATTTCCTGTAATAAATTTGTTTCTAACTAGCGTTAAGCATTGCACTCTGAGTTTGGTTGTAAAGTCACAAAATTCCATTCCAGTTTTGTTTCGGATGTGTAATTTATTAAATATCATTATAGTTCATTATGATCCTTTCTAACATTCCAGAATTGGTGCAGTTGAACCTTTAGATCTATGGATCGCAATGCATTCTACATGCTATAATAGGTGTTGATTTTCTTTGAGCATGTTTAAATAGGGACATGACAGCTTACATTCCGTGATATTCTGCAGCAGACTCCCTGAAGAAACTTTATTTCTGCAGTCTTATTTTCACAAGTTAAATGTATTTGTCTTGGTTTCAGCCACTGTACTAGATAGACAACCAAGTGCTACATAGGGTGGACTCATTTATGAAATTATCAATAGGAGGTAATTTAACTTATTATTGATGTCTTTTGGTGTAATTAATGAACTACATATCAGATTCTCTTTAAAGACCACAACATGGCTGTAATCGAAAGTGAAGTTGCTGAATACCTGTTAGACAAGTAACTGCTTGCAATTTTTCAGGATGAATGGAGCAATAACCAAGCACTTTGAAGAGGACGTGGGCACTAAGACATCGTTCTATGGGTTCACCACAAATACTCTGAAGAATTCCCTCAAGGCATACTGGAGTGATGGCTTCACCAGGGTGCCACAAGATCCTGTAAGTGATGATGCTGTTTCTGAGGTTAGAGGTTTGAATTGCCTAATAAAGAAAGCTAATGTTTTATTCACAGCCTTATGTTTTCACCACAGGGCATTTGCTATATCTTTATCCCCGCTAACATCCGAGACTATGTGATGCTGGCTGCTGCCGTCCAGGGAGTTTCTGTGCCTTCAGGGTACGACAAAGGAGATTTGTAAGTGTTTTTAGATGATGCACAGGCTCTATTATGCACCTGTGTACCTCTACACGTACAGTAGCAGCACACTGAAACGTTGTTTTTGCAAGTGCAGTTCACAAAGTAACCACACTGTGGTGCTGCTTCACTGTGTTCTCTGTCATCCATGCTTCATTTAAGGCCAAAGGAAAAAACATCTCAGAACTATTAGAATTTCCAGTTGCCCTTTGGTTTTGAGATGTTTTTCCAAGCGTTCTGGGTTTTCAGACTGAGTCATCGAAGTGTCTTTTTTGTGTTATTTTTCACTGGTACATTCATGCTTTTCTGGTTATTCCTTATTTATTTATGTTTCGTTTTGTGGCACAGGCCTTCCAAATATTTTGGATACAAGCGGCCAGTCCAGCAGTTCAGAATGATTCATCCATCCTTCATTGAGTACGTAACTAAGAGGTGAGAACATCTTAATATTTCTGTAACACAGTAGGTAGTGTTGATTTTTGACTTTTTTTTGGAGACTCTAGATGGTGTGCTAATATAATTGGCAGGTTTCTGAACTCTCCACTATTGAAGATGAGGCACGGCGACGTGTACATGCCCAGTACTGGGGCGCTCATGCTCATGGCCGCCCTTCACGCCTGCGACCAGGTCAGAGTTTGTTCATTCCCTATGAAGTTGAAGGCAAACTCTTATGGTTCAGGTTATGGGAAGTGCATTTTATTAGCAGCTCTCACTTGATTCTGCATCTTTATGGGAGATTGATTTAATCTCCCATATATTGCTTAATAGTTCCTGCAGTATTGGTCTTTGTAATACCGATATCACAAAAGACCACAATATGCAGATGAACTTTAATAAATCACAAAAAGCCTATCCTTGCAGTGATTAGGTGGGACAAATTCATTCAAAGTGGTTAAAGGTGAAATGCTGCATTGTGGAGAACATAACTGAATTGGATTTCTTAATAGTGGTGGTGTAGACATCACAATGTCTACAATGCAAATATAGCTATTTTCTATACTATTTAAAACGCTACTTAAGAATGTAACTGTGGCAGATGATATAATAGTGAATGACTGCCAGAGGGTGGCTTACCCTATCAATAATTCTCTATTGTGTAGTGCTGATTGAGACTTAAGCCAACAAAGTCATTTGTGGTGTAGCCTGCGCTATAAAGAGCATTGTCACGCATCATCCTGGGAAACTATTTAGGGTAACCACGCAGCATCCAAGTGAAATATGCTCTTTTAGAAATGAATTTTCATTCATGGTCAGTGTTCTTTAAGTACTAATTATATTCATTATATGCTCAGAAAAGTGTATTGTGCATTACCATAATAGAATTTCTCATGATGTTAAAATATCGTCATATTGCCTGCTTCTAATTTCATGCCTCCTGACCACCAGAGAGTCAAGTCAAAGTTTATTTATATAGCGCTTTTTACAACAGGCGTTGTCACAAAGCGGCTTTACAGAAAAATCCCTGTCCAAGCCCCTATGAGCAAGCCAGTTGCGACAGTGGCAAGGAAAATCCTCCCTAAGAGCAAGAGGAAGAGGCGTTGACTCAAAACCAAGACTCAAAAGGGGAATCCATCCTCCTCTGGTCAACACCAGAGAGCAAACAATAACAGCAAGTCAAGTCAAGTCAAAGTTTATTTATATAGTGCTTTTTACAACAGGTGTTGTCACAAAGCAGCTTTATAGAAAAATCTGGGTCCAAGCTCCCATGAGCGTTACCAGTGGCGACAGTGGCAAGGAGAAACTCCCTAAGAGCAAGAGGAAGAAACCTTGAGAGGAACCAAGACTCGAAAGGGGAACCCATCCTCCTCTGGTCGACACCAAATAGCAAACAGTATTAGTATAAAATATTAGAATACAAAATGGAAAAAACAGGTAGAGCAATGGTTAATTAAATAGTTTGAGTTTATGCAGCAGCAGCAGCATCATCAGGAGGGTCAATTCATGCAGGTGAGGTGCAGATCAGCCAACAGAGGTGGAGCTCTGGTGACTCTAGCAACTCTGGTGGCTCACATGTGGCGACTCAGGCAGACGTTGCTCAGGGGCTCAAATAAAGGGAGAGAGAGGGAGAGAGAGAGAAACTGATTAACAGGACAAGTCCGTTTATGGAGAGATATTAGTGAGTTAATAGTGCAACAACCGATATTAGCACAATGCTTGTGCAAACTGATAAGCAAGTTTTGAGTCTAGTTTTAAATGTAGAGAGTGTGTCTGAGTCCCGAACAGAGGTTGGGAGATGATTCCACAATTTTGGGGCTACGTAGGATTAATTCTAGGTACTAATAGTAAGCCAGCACCTTGTGATCTAAGTAGGCATGATGATTCATAATAAGAGAGAAGTTCACTCAGGTACTGAGGGGCCAGGCCGTTTAGAGGTTTATATGTCAGTAATTTTGTACTCGATGCAGAATTTAACTGGCAGTCAGTGTAGGTTTGATAAAACTGGGCTGATACGGGCAAACTTTCTTGTTTTTGTGAGGACTCTGGCAGAAGCATTCTGGACTAACTGAAGCTTGTTGAGGCTTTTGCTGGAAGATCCAGACAGCAGGGCATTGCAGTAATCCAGCCTTGAGCTAATACATGCATAAACTAGCTTTTCTGCATCATGTAGAGACAGTGCATTTCTTAATTTGGCAATATTGCGGAGATGCAGGAAAGCTATTCTAGTAATATTTGTTATATGTGCATTGAAGGACAGATCGGGATCTATCATGACACCAAGGTTTTTTACAGATGTACCTGATGCAACTGTTTGTTGCTAGCAGCTTTTGGACCAAGAAAAAGAATCTCTGTTTTGTCTGAGTTGAGTAGGAGAAAGTTACTTGACATCCAGTCTTTTATGTCTTTTACACAGTCCTCAGTCTTAAGTTGAAGTTTATCATCTGGTTTGGTCGATATATATAATTGCATGTCATCAGCATAGCAGTGGAAATTGAGGCCATGTTTACTGATGATGGTACCCAGTAGTAGCTTATATAATGAGAATAATATAGGTCCTAAAACAGAGCCTTGTCAAACACCATACTGTACCTTTGTAAGAACAGATGATTCGCCATTTACATTAAACTGATAGCAATGAGTCAGGAAAGAGCTATTCCTGTTACTTCTACAAGGTTTTCTAGCCTATCTAGTAAGATTGATAGGCTGGTCTATCATATCAAATGTCAGATCAAGATCAAGGAGGACTAGCAAAGATACATTTTCTTGGTGAGAGGATACAGAGATCATTTATAATTTTCACTAGTGCTGTCTCTGTACTGTGATGGGATCTAAATCCAGAATTTTTCATGTACCTGATTCCTATGTAAACAGGAGCTTGGTAGTTGTGTCACAGCTTTTTCCAAAATCTTTGATATAAAGTTAAAGATAGGTCTATAATTTGCTAACTCGCAGGGATCAAGATTAGGTTTCTTAATCAAAGGTCTAATTACTGCTAGTTTAAGGGTTTATTATTGACAGAAGAGTGTTGGTTATTTCTGGCAAAATTTCTTTGAGTAAACTTGTAGGAAATGGATCTAATATGCAAGTAGAAGATTTTGAGGAGGAACTAATTTTAACGAGCTCAATTTGTTGAAGCTATACTATACTCGAGATCTGGGTTAACTTTGTAGGGCAGCGCGTTTGTAAAGGTTAACTGTGCGCTTTGTTATTGAAGAATTTCATCAAATCATTGCTGCTATAAGCTGATGGGATCTGGGGTTCAGTAGCCGTTTGGTTGTTAGTCAATTTTGAAATTGTGCTAAATAATAATCTAGAATTATTCTTATTGTTTTCAGTCAGAGAGGAGAGATAGGCTGAGCATGCTGCAGCAAGTGCCCTTCTGTAGTCTATAAGTCTATCCTTCCAGGCAGATTGAAATACTTCTAGTTTAGTCAGGCGCCATTTTCGCTCTAATTGTCTTACAGTTTGTTTTAAAGCTTGAGTATGATCATTGTACCATGGGGTGAGCTTTTTCTGCCTTGCTCTTGTACTTTTTAATTGAGCCACGTTATATAAAGTAGAACAAAAAGTATCCTCTAAGCACTTGGTCATAATATCTAATTCGGTAGGTTCAGACGGACAGCTCACAGAAGCTGATAGATCTGGGAGGTTTCTGATAAAGCTACTAGCTGTGGGTGATGCTATAGTCTGCTTAACACAATAGCGTGGCAATAAACATATTATGTCTAAAGGGAATTTCATATGAGATTAGTTAATGATCTGGACTGCTGTGCTCTGGGGAATAATAGATTACTTAGCCATGTTTACACCAAAGGTCAGAATAAAGTCTAGAGTGGTTGCAAGAGTGAGTGTGACCCTTTCTTTTTTGAGTGAACCCAACACTCAAGTCTTACTTAGTGGATGCTGTGGTTTGTCAAAGTTAATATTAAAATCTCAGACAATTACTACTTTATTTGAGAGCTTTATTAAACTTGATAGAAAATTAACAAATTCCTGTAAGAATTCAGAATGTGGTCCTGGTGGCCTTTAGATTGTAATTAGTGAAACTAATTTTTGTTTGTTCCTCGATCACATACATTGAGAAAGACTTTCAAAAGAAGCACATTTGTAGCCTGCTGTCTGGTTCACACCTAAAGCTTTTGTATAAAAGGTTGCTAAACCTTCACCCTGGCCGCTTAAATGAGGGCAATGTACATAACTGTAGCCTGTGGGGGTGGCTTTGTTCAGAGCAAAGTATTCATCAGGACCACCTTAGATGTAAGAGATCTTAAGCAGTCCTAGTTTTAGACCAAAGGTGCCGTCATTGCAAACTAGTTTATCTGGTCTGATGTTCATTTGTAGGGCAAACTTTTCAAGGTTTTTTTGAAATTTTGTTTTAGTCAGGCAACAGACACAGTCTCAATTTGGTGGAACCTATGTGATGTCTCAGAGAGGGGAATGGAAGAAACTGAGGAAGCATAGTCCATCGCATTAAAAGCACTTACCTGTCTGCTGTCAATACTACTTACCTTCCATTGTTTGCTATCGTTCCATCCAGTTAGGCCTGATGTAGAACCTTCTTTATGTTCTCGGACAAGATAATAGTCCCATGGAGGCTCGGGTGTAATCATCCCTGTGGTAGAAGGCCAGTCGCTCCCAGAAAGCACTCCAGTTGCTCATGTAGCCAAGGCCATTGTTCTCGCACCAGTCTTGGAGCCAACAGTAAAGTGTGTAGAGCCTACTGAGCATCTCGCTTCCTCTCCTGTAGGTGGGCAGAGGTCCTGAGATGACGATCCTGACATCGGTCAGAGAGCAACTTAGCCTATGGATTACTCCATTCCAGCATAGTCAGGAGGATGGGTGCATGTCCATTAAGGCTGATGAATTGGCTGACAGAACTGAAACACACAAGTCTGTAGTTGAGGCCACATATAAAATCTTGTGAAAGTGGATAAAGACGACCAGGATGCTGCCACAATGCCTGAAAACGGGACACTTCTAAGAGCAGCCCATGTTGCCAAGACACCCCGAGTTGAATGACATGCTACATAATTTGGGGTTGTAATACCAGTTGAGAGTGGTGCACCAGCTGTGTGGCTCCCAAAGCAAACGAAGAGCTGGTCAGTGTGATGGATAGACTCAGTCATCAAATCATGATCGCTGAGTGCCCAAACAGGGCATAAACGCAGGCACTGGTCATCAGAAATGTT